CAACTTTCAAGGTATAACTGAGGCAGGCTCCAGATCACCGCTGAGAGAGCTGAGCTCCACACCTCAGAGTGCTGCTCCATGCCATGCTGATCTCCTTTGGCATCAGCCATTGGAGGCTCTGTCCAGCTGACTGAGGTCTTCACCCACCCTGCTGGCTCTGGAGTTCCTTCCTTGCAAGACACTGATGACTCCCTTTGCCCACCGAGCTGTCTCCTGGACCTGTTGACTGAGACTCTGGGACTCAGGTTCGTTATTCCCCAATATTTGCTGTGTGTGTGTTATATTTCTGTTAGGATGTTAGAGTGTGAGTAGGATATTAATGTATGTTGATGTTCTACTTTGAGTCAACCTGAATTCAATAAAAGATGAATGAATAGCATAGCTACCTTGTGTGACTCTTGTCTATTCCTCTGGGCTGCTCAGCAGGCACCTAGCTGAGCAGTTGCCTGGCTGACTTATAGGAAAGACTACATCATGAACATCCGCTTGTGACGATAATAAAGAGTGGTAACTAGCTCTGCTTAATATTATATTTAAGCATATTTTAATGTTAAATTAATTCAGTTTGGTGCTGGTGTCCAAATGGACAAACATATGATACAAAGGATAAAGTCCCAAATACAGTGAAATGCACAAATATTTATGTAATGAATAATACTGATGAAATTAAAGTCATTAAAAAAATGTGTTTTTCAATAAATGGTCTTTATACAATTGGATAACGTCTGGATAAAAAAAAACAACAAAACAAAATAAAAGGAAAGTAGAAGCGCTGTATCGCTTCTTACTCCAGAAGACTAAATCCCAGATTTAGCAAAAATTTAGACATGACAATAAATAAAATACACAAAAGTCTTCACTTAACGAAAGCTTTCCCAAGCATCACCCCAAATCTAGAGGCTACAAAAGACAATATTGACAAAAAGAATAAATATCAGTGATCTGTGGATGTCAAAACATTATAAACAAATTCCAAGATAAACAACAACTCATGATAAATGGGATACATTTCAAAAAACTTTATTTGCTTAACAAGCAAAGGACTTCAAAATTGGTAAAAGACAAAACTAACCAGAAGTCAATAAAGAAATTGAGTCAACAATGGACTACAGTTAAAGAAACTGAAGTGCCTTTTAAACCTACGCTCTATGCTCCATTACACACATATAAAGAAAAAATATTAATTTAAATATAAATTCAGTTTTTAAGCATTCATATGGGTAAAAATTAAAAAGTTCCATTTGATAAGAATATGTAAAAATAAGAACTGCTAACACATTTTGGGTGAAATCATGAATTCCTACCTTATTAAAGGTTATTCTATAGCCACTATCTATGAAAATAATGCTCATACCATTAACCTTTAATTTGTTAGAACATACCCAAAGATATACTTTCAAAGATGTGTGTTTAAATTATTGCCACCAATTATTGTACAAAATATCAGTAATATTCCATCAAAAAGAGTTATTTTACAATTAGATCCATATGTGATTGCTTGCGGGGAAGAGAATTTGGATTTAGGATTCAGGGTGGGAAAGGGACATTTCCTTGTATTCCTCTTCAGGCTGTTTGACGTTACACTAAGTGCATATGCTACTTTTTAAAATACACACACACACACATGCTTGAGATAATGCTGGTAAAGAAAAATGATCTGAAAGAAAAGTGAAGAGTGGAAAAGTATGATAAAGTCAAGAGTTAGACTGGCTCACAAAATGTCTGAAAAGTTATTCTACAAAGTTTGTATATCTGCAAGAGTTGTGACACAAATAAGCCTTTAACGTCATGATGGGTACATGGCCATTTATACAGATTGATGACTATATGATCAGGAATGGAAATCAGTTTCTAAAACAAACACAACTGCTTGTGCTCCAGAGACCCTTCAGCTAGAGTGGACGATATATAGTACACTTAACTCGATCCTTACATTAGAAAGTGACACAATTCACAGAAAGCTCTCTTTTTATGTAATGTTATTAGTCCAAAGTTTATCTCAGAACACTGAAAAATATAGTTTATACAGGTGTACTATGGTGGATTTCAGGCTTTCTGGCTACAGGGCTTAATCTAGTAATACAATTTATAATAAATGTCCATGGATATTATTTTTCTCCACTGAAGAATTGAGCTGCAGTAAATTTGATACTATAGTCCCTGACACTTACTTGGAATATAGTAATTGTACGTTCCTGGTAAACTCAGAGCTGCACAAATCAGCAAGACTAAGGAGAGGAGAATGATTTGTTTGCAAAAACTAAAGAGCCACTAAGACATAGATCTCAATGAAAGGCAATGAAAATGCCATCCTACATTTGTATCATGGAAGGTGTGTATCATTTATAAAGCTCTCTAACATAAATTGATATTTTAGTTTTGACTGAAGCAACAACTCTGAGTAGTAAGGTAAGCTATTATTATGGAAGAAGAAACTGACTCTGTGTGATTTGGTCAATATCATAGGGGCAAGTAAACAGCCAAGCCAGCTCTAAATTCTAGACTTTTGATGTTAAATCTGGGCTCTTTTCCTTATATCTAGTTTAGTGACCTTGATATATATATTATTATGTGTATATATAATATATTATTATATATAGACCATGATATATATGTTATATTATTATTTTATATATGAATATATATTATTTTATTATACTATTATATTATTATTTTCTATATGAATATTCAGAAAATAATATAATATAGAAAATAATATATGAATATTCATGTAGAAAATAATAATATAACATAATGGTATAATAATATAATATAGTACTTATATAGATTTATTTTTTTCATCCCCTAGAGATTCTTTTTTGCTGTTTATTTTTCCAACTCTAAATATGAATAAGAGTCTCTTATGCTCTCTAGGAATCTATTTTTTTACTTGTCTGGGATTTTGAATACAAAGAGAGCTATGACAGGGAAGGGATATGGGGTCAAGCAGTAATACACACACCCACCCCCCATCTCTGACACACATGTGCAAACATATGTAAGAGCAGAACATACCTGACTGCTGATGAGGAAAAGAGGAGCCACTGGGGACTGAGAAAAGAAATGATGTCTAGTAGGTAGACACATACCTGACAACACAAAGCTAGAGAGAATTCAGAGAAGACACGGGAAGAAGTTGTAGCAGAGAACATTGGCCAGCATGTCCTTAGCCTGCTTTCTTCCAAGGCCTATACCAAACCAATATTTAGATTATACTGAAAAACAAGGCTATGAAAATACATTTGTATGCGTTATATATTAACTTTTACTACTACTAAGAAGGAAGATATAATCAAATGTCTGTTTTAGTTTTTAAGTTTTGATTAATTTATTAGAAGACTAAGAAGGCAATCAAGCTATGTACAGAGTGGACTGAGGGGAAAGATTCCTCAGTGATACAAACATCTGACAGGGGAAAATAGAATCAAATGTCTAGAAACATTGTGTAAATTGTTAAGCTTATACATATAGGGAGCGTTACATAGTGAACATGTATGTACTTGCTTTATCCTCACTAGCAGACTGCATGCTTCTTAATACTGAAAACTTCCTTTCCATTTCTCTCTTTTCTATAACACATTGCTTTGGCTATTGTCAGTGTCATGTACAGCTTTCTAAATTCTTACATTTAAGAATTTTTTTTGATATATAAATATAGAAAAACATTTATTTTCTTTATTAGACAGGCATAGAGTGAAATGCTGAATTACATTGGTTCTGTCACTTACAAATTAAGTGAGTAGGTCACTGAACATAAAATAGTTTTTAATAATAATTATCCAATGACATTTTCATGAAAATTAAATAATCCACATGAAGAACTTGTACAATGTGAGCAAACACCATTAGTAGCCACCATTAATTGATTTCCTTGACTAAAGGAAGAAATCATGCATTGTCTTTAAAAACACTGGAGATGAGAACATTCTGGGTCTCAAAATACTGGGTTTCACCCAAACAATGCTATAGTTTAACTGATAGTTTCCAAAGCAGCTCTCATGTACATAGTTCGTATCTTTGAAATTAGCTATAGTCTTTCAAGGAAAGATACAATTGAGATGGCTTATGTCAATTTTAATTTCATGATTTGACCCAACCAGATGTCCACATCTGTGTAAAAATGGACTGGGGTTTCCTATCATTCCCCAAAAGCAGATCAGACCTGCAAGACCCTAGATCCCTGTGAAGTACAACTTCTCACTCAGACAAAGGATGTATCTTGACTCCAAATTGCTCTTCACAGCTTTTACATTCAGGACATGATTGAAGTAAGGATCAATTTAGACTCTAGTCTCTCTGCAGAGAAATAAACAATGGGCACAATCTCTAAGACAGGTGGAGCTCTGGATGGACGGAGCAGCTGAATACACACACACACAAGACCAATCTTGAGCACATATCCTGAATCCCTTTGGTCATCTCAGGCACATCATCTGATGTCAAAAATTCCTTTTGTGGAGGAATTTTCCTTGAGGTTTTAATGATATTTATGGGTTTGCTACCTACTATTGTTGTCTAAAGAGCAATGTGATACAACATTCCTGTTCTATGGATTGAACTCCACTGGCTGACCTTGTGCAAATATGTTTTTTCAGGTTATTTATAACTTATCAGTATCAAAAAAAAATATCAGATGTACAGTATAAAAATCTAAATGTATTCATTATTCTGGCATTTAGAAAACTCTAGATTGATATTATGGATAAAAATAACTTTAAGAAAATATTCTCAGCTCTGAATTCTTGCTATGACACAGATATATAAGAATGAATCGATCTAGCAGAATATGCATGGGTCACTTTTATACATGTAAATGACCACCAGTATGCAAATATCTATTTATCATAACTTATATTTATATCTACAATTATATATCTCCATATCCACCCATCTATCCATTCATTCATCCATTCATTCTCTGAGTCAAATTCAGTCAATTTCATGGTGAGAAGAAAACTGAAGCTAAAATAAGCACATCTCCATTATTATATGTACTGTCGATGCTAATTCGCTTGTTACGGTATAGCGATGATGTAAGTCAAAAGAATTCTTTCATTTGGTACAATCAAGGATTGCCCTCCTGGCTACCCATATAGGAAGAGGCTGAGCTACCTGCTTAACTGGTAGTATAGGATGTTGACTAATTCACTCCCAGGATTATGTTTATTCTTAACCCAACTTCAAACAATTATTTTACAAGCTTTCTCTCATTTCTGCTTCTGATGAGAGTGGCCCATTTGATTTAATGTTGGCTTTCTAGTAAATCAATAGACTTTTTTTCTCATCTAATATTAGGCATCAAAAGGGATTGGCTCAGAAACTATAGATGATCATGGGATTTATTTAAACAACAAAACACAAATGACTCGCATTACCACATTTTCCTCATTTTTGCAGAAAGAAGTAAATTTCCAGATCTTAAACAACCTAAAATATTTATTCTATAAAAACACAAACCTAGACAAGTAGTTGAAAACTGAAATAAAAATGTGTGGGGGGGGGTTAATAAAGTGAGATACATTTTGGCACTTGGATGTGAAAATTAAAGACCTATGTGCCTTCCCTTTATGCTTTGGCAGATAGAATTTAATTATGGTCAGCACATTAGCCTGGGCCATGCACTTAGTGTATTCGGAAATGCCAACCTGGGGAGCACGTGTAAAGAATGAGGGGAAAAAAGGGAGGAAGGGCAACCGATCCCAGTTGTGTTCACACCATTCTGAGGGAAAGACATGTGATCCTATGGGACTTCAGAGGATCCTGTTTGGGAAAGTCAGCTTGTGGGATATGAGTTGAGATGCTGTTAGGTTGCACCTGTGCTAAACTGTTTGCTGTCCATGTTGAACAGACTGCCACACTACACACTGGCTTGTGTAAAAGACGTACATATTAAAAGGTTCATAAAAGGGAGTCAGAAAAAAATTAAAACAAGCAAAAAGTGTTCAGGATGCTAGACTGAAACTATAGAATAAACAAGATTGAAAATCTTATTAATAAGATGAAAATCTTATAGAATAAGATGAAAAACAGTCTCCTTACATTATGAAAATTAAAGTTTCTCATTTTAAACAAAATTCTCTTTTTTGTTATATAGGAAAGAAATTTTAAAAGCACATACACAACCTTTAAAAAAATCACCACTGCTATTTTAAATCAAATTTGTTAAATGAATGATTGTTAGACTTCCTTTAAATTGCTTCTGTAGTACATGCGTGTTAAAAAAAAAAAAAAAAAAAAGCAGAACTCTCTCTTTCATTGCATTTGTCCTTACATAATCAGGCTGTGTCTGATCTCCTTAGGAATCTGATTAGTCAGAAACTCAAAAAATTCTGTTTAAAAACTAATCTTATATACACAAAGTTCTAAGTAGGAAAACCTACACTAGACGTGCAGAGTCCTTTGACTTCCTTTTTGTCTTAAAAAACAGTCATATCTGATTTTCATGATTTCATTTTTATTTTTTAAAGATTTTATTTATTTTTGGAGGGAGGGAGGGGAAAGGAGAGAGAAAGAGAGGGAGAGAAACAGATGGGTTGCCTCTTGCACGCCCCCAGCTGGGGACCTGACCCACAACCCAGGCATGTGCCCTGACCGGGAATCAGACTGACCAATTTTCAGTCTGCAGGCCGACACTGAGCCACACCAGCCAGGGATAATTTTCATGATTTTAATTGTTGCAATCCCCCCGAAATGCCACTAAATTTTCAGTGAACAAACTCATCATCAATCATATATTTTACTTTTAAATGCCTTCTTCCTCTAAATCAATGGAGACTCAAGGACAGGAAAAAAAAAAAAAAAACCCAAAAAACAAAAACTAGACTTGGTGTCAAGAGACTTGCGTCCCACGCTGAGCCCTGCCAGCAGCCAGGTGCCTATGTGTGGGAAGGCCTGTTTAGCTCTCACAGCCTCACCACCTACTTACTAGTCAAAGACTAAGTAAAATTTTAGCTCCAGAAGCAGATTCAGAGCTAGGCTGATCGCCTTCTGATTTTAGTTCCAGCACTGAATGAACTTGAGATTTGGGGCAAGTCATTTATTTCCACTGAGTCTCAGTTCCATCAGCTGTTAATTAAAATTTAAAAATACTGATTCAGAGTTTTTTGAGAAGGACCTGAAATGATTTATGTGAAGCATTAGCACAGAGGGTGGCCCTTTATAAACAGTATTAGATGTTTCTCATTATTTGCCCTTTTGCAGAATGCAGAGCAAGAAGCCACTGGCCAAATTTCTCTGCTACCTTGGCATGCAACCTTTCCTCACGTAAGCTAAGTACTGGACTTCCCTTGTCTATCAGAGGCTGAACTTGGATTTTCCTTGTCTTCCCTAAATCCTGCCCTGCTTTGTCTCCTCAAAGAAGTTTACATTTGGATTCCAAAGTGTCACTTTTCTCTCATCAGTACAGACATAGGCTCTACTGCTTTCTCCATACGTGTGCGTGAGCATATTCTCCCTGACACAGTATCTCCCTACAGCTATTTCTGTCTTTTATCAGTCCAAAACTCTAAAGAGCTGTCTATATAGTCTACCTCAACTTTCTCTCTCATTCATTCCTCATCCCATCTATCGGCCTCCTTTTATACCTGTTATGAAAACGTCTCTTTCCAGGGTCATGAACAATTCCCATGACGTAATCCAGCACAGACTTCTCCATCATCTGACTCACCTCTCAGCACCAGGCAGCAGAATCGAGCTGCCACTTTGTCTTAGGACACTCCCTATCTTAGTTCCCTGTCACTTCTCCATCCTGAGTTTCCTGCTATTAGGAGTTGACCGATTGCCAGTTTCTTTGCTATATTTGTCTTTCTACTCAGGCTGCCCTGGTAGGGACAGCCACATCTCAGCCCTGGTTCTTCTCTCAAAACTAATTCCTCGACCCCAAAAAATCTCCTCTATCCTCATGGATTTAAGCATTGCCTAATGCTTCTTATGCACAACTTTTAAAAGGCAGGTGATAAATTCTAGCTCCATGAATTTAGATTGTTACTTTTCTGGCATATGATGGCTCAGGTTTAAATCCTGGTTCTGCAACTTAATACCTGCACAACTTTGGACAAATCATGTAACCTCTCTGTGTGCCTTACTTTAATTCCATTTCATAGGGTTATTGGAAGTATTAATCAATACTGAGTCCTTTAAAAAGTGTCTGGCACATAATAAATGCTATATAAATATTTAATATCATTGCTATTTTACAATAATTTAGATTGTCACTCCCCTACTTAAAACCCTTCTTCCATTGTGCTTAGAATAAAATTCAGCATCTTCACATTAGCTTAGCAGGCCCTGCATCAGCTGACACCAGCTTTCTCCTCAACCTTAATTCATAGTCCTCCACCCCCTCTTTTTCATTATCTTCTAGTCACATGGCTCTTTTTTCTTTTTAAGCCTCTCAGACATGACAACACCTTCCTTGTCTCTAGGATTTTGTGCATATTTGCCCACCCTGCTTTCCTAGGCAACTCCTTCACATCCTTTAGGATTAAGTGTAAGTATATCCTCTTCTTCTTATACAGTGCTCCATGGCTATGTATCCGGGGTTGTTCCCCACCACCCCTACCCCAGTCTTCTACTGGGCCCTTCTTTGTTTCCTTCACAGCACTTACCACAATGTGATCCCTCATGTTTATGGTTTTGTTTTTGTTCTTCTCTACTAAAATATAAGGTTCAAGAAGGCATGAATTCTGGGTTTCTCTCCACTGTTCAGTGTCCCACACTTGCAAGGAACTCAAAGTTATTAAATTTCTAATAAATACTCTTTTTATGTGTGATATTCTATGAAAAGCTAAGAAAAAAGAAAAGTGAATGCACCTAGCAAGTATATAGTGTTCTGAGTTGCCTCAGTCACACAAGGTCATGAACTGAAGAGTCACTATTTCACGTCATTCACTTGGGGAACAAGTAGAGTTACAAATTTAGAGGGTACGTTAATTATCCATCAATTTTCTTGAAAGTGAAAATAAACTTAAGAATACATATTAATGTCATAATAAACTATTATTCTAGTAGAAAACATCCATGGCTTTCAAACTCTTAATTTTATTACATTTATTGGAATGACAATGGTTCATAAAATTATATAGGTTTCAAGTGTATAACTCTACACTACATTTTCTGTATATTACATTGTGTGTTCAACACTCAAAGTCAATTTTCCTTCTGTCATATACTTAACCACCTATGCCTTTTCTATCTCCCCCATCCCCCTTCCCCTCTGGTATCCACTGATCCGTTATGTCTATGAGTTTTTGTTTGGTTGGTTGTCTTTTTTGCTCATTTTTTGCTTTCAGATATATATTCCACATATGAGCAAATCATATAGGTCTTGACTTTTTCTATCTCACTTAGCATGATACTCTCAAGATCTATCCATGTTGCTGCAAATGCTAGTATTTCATCTAACATTTTTAAAGCCACAGAAAACCACTAGAGCTACTCTGATTGAACTGGGTTTTAGGGGTGTAAGACCTACAAATTTATCCTTTGATCATCATCCAAGAGAGGGCTGAATGGTACTTTTCAGGACTGAATGTCCTTTGGGCCAATGGAACTTCTAAACTTTTATAATAACATCAAAATAAGGTGGTTTCCAAATTCAACAAAAAGTGATCACCTTACCGCCTCAATGTCCATAGCACTTGGATTTCCCATGTGAGATTCTTCATTATTCATTGATGTGAATATTCCACATCTTTTTCCACAAACAGAGGTCTGCATCTTGCTTATATTTATGTTCCCTATAGCACTTTTATACATGAGGAGTGGGTGCTCAATAAATATGATTTAATTAATTAAAGTATTAGGCTCTATTCCTGTTGTCAGATGCAGACTTGATTTTATGGTAGCATTATAATCTCCTTCACCCAAAGTCAAATTTACCCAGCTGAAACCAGAAGAAAGAGAAGGAGGTTGTGGGCCCAGAGCCAGAGAAGGGTGTTGCTGTCAAGGGAGACAGGCACTGTAAAGGCTTAATACTGGAAAGAAAAAGAGAAATTTGAAAGTAGGTCAGAATGGCTGTAGCTTAGATTGTGTCAGGGAGAGAAGTGGTAGACATAAAGCCTAGAGAAGTTAACATGACCCTGGTACTGAAGTGCCTTTTATTTCTTAACATTATTTTTAATGTTAAGAGTTTTGCATTTTGTCCTAAGATAATGTGGAATCCTTTAGCCGGGAGAGATATTTTCAGATTTGTAAATCAAAGAGAACAGTTGGACTAGAGAATTATTTTCTGGATTAGAAGAGAAGAACATAGACATCACTAAATTTATTTTTGATATTGTGGAGAGCAAGACCAGCAAAATGGCATTGGTCCAGTCAAGATAGCACAAAATATATAAAACAAAACAAAGTCACTCATGTCAACCAAGATGGCTGCCAGTCAGCCATGACATTTTGGTCCAAGAGGGGAACAACCTAAGACACACTAGATACATCTGGCAAGGAGACGCACCCAAAATATCTGCACATGTGATCAGAACAGCCATGTATACAGAATGGGACCACTCAGAGATAGGCTCCTGGGGAAATTCGCCGCTTGCTATCAGGGGTACCAAGACACTTAACAAGCGACCCAGAATTGTGGAATATACCACTTTCAAGGTATAACTGAGGCAGGCTCCACGCCACTGCTGAGACAGCTGAGCTCTACACACCAAGATGCTACTCCACTCCGTGCTGATTTCTCTTGGCATCAGCCATCAGAGGCTCTGCCCTGCTGACTGAGGACTTTGTCTGCCTTGCTGCCCACCTAGATCTGGAGTTCCTTCCTTGAAAGACACTGATGACTCCCTTTGCCCACCGTGCTGTCTCCTGGACCTGTTGACTGAGACTCTGGGACTCAGGTTCGTTATTCCCCACTGATTGCTGTGTGTGTGTGTGTGTTATATTTCTGTTAGGTTGTGAGAGTGTGAATAGGATATTAATGTATGTTGATGTTCTACTTTGAGTGAACCTACATTCAATAAAAGCTGAGTGAACAGCATAGCTACCTTGTGTGACTTTTGTCTATTCCTCTGGGTTACTCAGCTAGCTGAACAGTTGCCTGGTTGACTTACAAGAAAGACTACATCATGAACATACACTAATGACACAGGGTTCGATAAACTGGGGTTAATACAAGACAATAAAACACATGTTGATGACAACGTAAAAGAAGCCATAAGAAGGTTTCCTAAGAACCTGTATAGCAAGAGTTCACTTCATATTAAAAGGACACTGGACCTGTCCATGAGGCAGCAGATCTTGCCTAAAGAGCAGTGGACAAAATATGAGGATGAAAAATTATGCCTTGAACCACATCAGAAAGAGGTTATTTGGGAAAGAAAAGAAAGAGAAGAATGGGCAAAGAAATAATCACACTATTGAAATCTGTGGATACATCTGTCCTCAAAGTATTTTAATGATGTTGGTTAACCCTGAAATGGACAATGTAGGTATACAACAGTATAATGATGTTGGTTAAACTTGAAATGGACAACCATCTGGGCTGCAAATACATTACTAATAATTTTTTATTACGAGGAAAGGAGGAGTTTTTAATAGGCAGTTGAAAGTGAAGTGGAACAAGAGAAAGGTCTGGGCATAGCTACAGTACATAAGGAAGTCGATTAGCAGTTGAAACAATGAAATGGATATTAAGAGGTATGTGTTATGAACTGAAGCTTCTTTGACCTTCTAAAAGAAGCAACAAAGAAGATCAAATATTGTAATAAGAATTACAAATTGCTTTCATCGGGTATACTATATATTCCTTAGTGATTTCATATTATTAAGCTGAAACTTGTAGAATCTCAAGACTGATTCAGGTAACAGATTATCAGAATCCTTATACCAGGTCAAAAAGTGGTCTTTTACTTGGTCTTGGCTTTGAGATGACCCTACTCTGCCTCTCCTGGCCACATCCTACTTCTTAAGGCAAGAAGGCTACAAGGCTAAGATAATGGGCCTCACAAAGCCATTACCTCCAAGCTCCAGTTACACTGAAGCCTGTAACACTCTGTTCAAAGGTCAGCACATCCATTTTCAGAGCCTGGGTGGTTATTTTCTGTGGTCCCACCTTCCAGAGAGTGCTCATGTCACTTTGTATGGCCCAAGGAGTGGCAAGAGGCAACTGTTTACAGAAGGAACATAAATCATGCTTAATCATGGGGCAATTTTTCAAAATTTTTCACTAGTTTCACTGGGGAGCAGGTATGCAGAATCCTTACACTGTCATGTCAAACAGCCTTGCATATTTGCTGTCTTGGATGATCTGCAAGCTGCCCCGTGCTGCTGTGGCATGTGAGTTTTTGTGGTAGATGAGTCCAGAAATGTAGGAGGCAAACATTAATTTCTTTTAACAATAAATAACTACTGAGGAGTTATAAGAATAAGGGAGAAAGGAGCAAATCTGCATTACAGAGCTATGTTTAAAAAAAATTAAAGAAACTAGTGTGAATTTTCAGTGTGCTTTAGCATCTGTTTATGTCTATCCCTGCACTGAGTTCCAGGGATATGCTAGATTGTGGTTTAGTATAAGAGAAGGAAAAGAACAGAGAAGAGAGACAAAAAGATATCGGTTGAATTACATATTAAGGCTTTTACTTGATTTTATACATTTGGGGAAGGATGGAGAATAAATGACAAAAGAGGAAAAAGAGAACCAACGAAGCCAGCCATATCTGGGAAATGCTGTGTAATATATCTCTCTTTGATATTCACAGTACATATTAGCATATAAAAGATGCTCAGAAATACTGAGAAAAAGTAATGTGTTTAATTTGGCTTATTCATAGTTCTCAAGAACTTATTTGCCATTTATGCCATTTTTCATGTATAGGCTATAAACCTCCCTCAATACAGCTTTGTGATGAAACACAGTTTGGAAAACTGAAAATATTGAAAGATTTTTAAAAGTGAGTGGCAGGTTTCTAACTCATAAAATGTTTCATAAAATGGAGTAGCTCAGAAGTGGGATGGATAAATATGCCTAACATTTACCCTAAGGGAAATAGTTGTACCTTTGGGAAAATATAAAAAGAAGTATAACTTTAGATCTGCCAAAGAGGAAAACAAAGAAAGAAACTACTTGGGACATTTATCTGAAAATCTTTAGTAGTGTTAAGTTTTCAGTACTTGGGATTAATTTAATTTTCTAACATGATCTACAGAATTATCCAGTGACTGAAGAGTTAGGCAGGTATATAAGAGGGATCATATGCTTATTTTATTTTTAAGCATATTTTATTGATTATGCTATCACAGTAGTCCCATTTTTTCTCCCCTTTATCCCCTTCTTCCCTGCAACCCCCTCCCTCCAGCATTCCCCCCGCCCTTAGTTCATATCCATGAGTCATACATATAAGTTCTTTTGGCTTCTCCATTTCCTATACTATTCTTAACCTCCTCCTGTCTATTTTGTGCCTACCAGTTATGTTTCTTATTCCCTGTACCTTTTACCTCCATTCTCCCCTTCCCCACTGATAACAGTCCATGTGATCTCCATTTCTGTGATTCTAATCCTGTTCTAGTTGTTTGCTTAGTTTTTGTTTTTGTTTTTTAGGTTCAGTTGATAGTTGTGAGTTTGTTGTCCTTTTACTGTTCATAGTTTTGATCTTCTTTTTCATAGATAAGCCCCTCTAACATTTTACATAATAAGGATTTGGTGATGATGAACTCTTTTAACTTTACCTTATCTGGGAAGCACTTTATCTGCCCTTCCATTCTAAATGATAGCTTTGGTGGATAGAGTAATCTTGGATGTAGGTCCTTGTCTTTCATTTGTAAGTTCTTCCCTTGTTTTGAATACTTCTTTCCAGCCCCTTCTTGCCTGTAAGATTTCTTTTGAGAAATTGGCTGATAGTCTTACAGGAACTCCTTTGTGGGTAACCATCTCCTTTTCTCTTGCTGCTTTTAAGATTCTGTCCTTGTCTTTAATCTTGGGTAATTTAGTTATGATGTGCCTTGGTGTGCGCTTCCTTAGGTCCAGCTTCTTTGGGACTCCCTGCGTGTCCTGGATTTGTATGCCTATTTCCTTTGCCAGATTAGGGAAATTTTCCCTCATTATTTGTTCAAATAAGTTTTTGATTTCTTGTTCTTCCTCTTCTCCTTCTGGCACCCCTATAATTTGAATGTTGAACCATTTAAAGTTGCCCCAGGGGTTTCTCAGCTTCTCATTTTTTTTGAATTCTTGTTTCCTCTTTCTGTTCCAGTTGGATATTTATTTCTTCCTTCTGTTCAAAATCATTGATTTGAGTCCCAGTTTCCTTCCCTTTACTCTTAGTTTCCTGTATATTTTCCTTTATTCCACTTTGTATAGTGTTCATTTCTTCCTTTATTTTGCAACCATACTCAGTTATTTCTGTGAGCATCCTGATTACCAGTGTTTTGAACTCTGTATCTGATAGGTTGTCTATCTCCTCATCACTTGGATCTTTTTCTGGAGTTTTGATCTGTTCTTTTATTTGGGTCATATTTCTTTGTCTCGGCACACCAGTTACATTTTAAGGGGTGGAGACTTAGGTATTCACCAGGGTGGGACAACAAGTGGGATCATTTTATATTAAAGAAAATTTTGTGTGACTATGAAGTAATATGGTGGATTTTACAAGTCACAAAAGTTAGTGCTGAATTTGTTACCAAAAGAGGAATTATTTTTAAAAGTCTTTGCAAAATATACAAATCATTAGTATTAACATACTCTTTCTTAAAGTAACTTTTAAAATTGATCCAGGAAATTCCTGAAACAAAATAAGAGAATAAATGTAGATAAACCTACTTTCCTCCTTCTATACTCTGGAAAAACCGAGTACTAAAAATGAAGGAAAAAGTATTAGAATTAATGTTTATGTGTCATCTGCTACAACCCTAAACCTCATGCCGAAAAGCATGTCTAGCTAAGAAGATGAAGCAGGAACGTGAAAATCAACACATGTAACTTAGACTTTAAAAAAGCCCAAAATAGGAAGCCTTAACTATTAATTAAGTAGAATACTGAGATGTAAAGTCATGAACAAGCATATGTGTAGCAAGAAATGTCACTGAAGATTCCAGTGTGATAGCACAGAGCATCAGGGAAAGTGAAACTAAAGCAAAACTCATGATCACATGCTATTGCTATTGTCTCTAACCCACTTCCCTGGTGAAGAGATTGTTGAATAAGGAGCACAGTAAGAGAGAAATGATGGGAGACATTGTGGCTTACAGAGTTTTCATGTCAGCTTCTATTGCTAATGAATGAGCCTGTACCCTTGGCCAACCCTTCTTGGTGAGCTGAGGCTCCCAATGCTCAGCAGACTATGCCAAGCTGCAGGGAAAAGAGGGTGCCCCTTTGCAAGTGGGGTGCAGACAATGCCATATTGGAGGCTGAGGTTTGGCTGAACACTGCAGAGAACAGTCTGGCTACCTGGCATCTCCCCCGGTGACTGCCTGGCCCACATGGCGGGGACTTTTATAGACACTGCAAGCAGCAGGGTGTCACCTCCCCTCAGTGGGACCAGTGGTTGGGCCTGGCTGCAGTAGATTGTTTACGTAGAGGTGGCAGAGCTACCACAACACAGCCAGTTGGCACTCCTAAGGACAGGGAAGCCGGGCAGCCCAAGGACATGGGGAGTCAGACAGGTCTCCCCCACCAGCCAAGATGGTGGTGGGGGAATGTTCCAGATTGGAGGTGGGACAAGAGGAAGGCAAACACATGCACTATAGAAGTCAAAGTAGTGGGAAGGGAAGGTACTAGTCCAAAGAGGCCTGTCAGTCTACTCTGGGAAAAGAAGGGATTGATTGGGAAATAGACCCACCCAGAATGTGAGAAAACACCTAGTCTCTCCCACACCACAACATATACAGTCCCAGGGGAACAAAGAAACTTGCTCTCTTGCTTGTCACTCTTGCTTGTGACCTGGACTCATACATACAGTGTTTTCGCCTGTTCTCTTCATGGGCCATGTGGCCTTAGGAGCCATGTGGCCCATGGCCTTCAAAAGGGAGCCCCTCTCTCTCTTTTGCCCACCTAGTGAAAACACTAGCTATAATCATGTGACCTTGAGGCCCTAGCAGACTCATGGCTCATGGTCATACAGATCCCACACACACAGATTCCAGGAGGAAGCCTGAAACAGCAGCCCAGAGCAAGCTAAGCTACCTAAATGACTGCTTAGCAACAACCTGTGAGCTTCAAAGGACTCTGCTTTAATTTGGGGCAGGAACTCTGGACATTGAGTTTTCCATGGTTTTGCTGAAGCAATGGGTTTTGAGATAGGAAAATTAGGTGATACGGTTGGGGTAAAATTGGCATGAAGAAATTCATATGTGCAAACAAGAAGAAATTAGAAAATACATGAAAAGAAAAGATACCATTACAATAGCATCAAAAAAAA